GTAGTCCCTCAGACAAAGAACTTCTATTTAGAATATATAAAGAATTGAAAAAAATCAGACCCCCAAAATTCAAAGACCTAATCCAAAAATGGGCATCTGAGATGAATACACACTTCTCAGATGAAAAAATGTTCAACATCACTGGTCATTTGAGAGATGCTAATTAAAACAACACTGAGACTCCTTCTAACTCTGGAAAAAATGGCTATCATCAAGAAATCAAACAATAACAAATGCTGGTGGGGTGGTAGGGAAAAAGGAACCCTTCTCCACTGTTGGTGGGGGTACAGACAGGTGCAACTGCTGTAGAACTCAGTGTGGACATTCCTCAAAAAACTAGAATTAGAGGTCCTTTCCCCTTCTGGGTATCTTCCAGAGGAACTGAAAACATCATATCACAGCAACATATGTCCACCCGTGTTTTAGCAGCACAATTTGTAATAAATACATCTTGGAAACAATCCAAATGGCGATTAACCAAGGAATGAATAAAAAGAAGTGTGTTTTGTTTTTTTTTAATAATGAACTACTACTCATCCATAAAGAAGGATAAACTGGAGACTTTTATAGGTAAATGGATGCAACTTGAGACCATACTCATAAGTGAAGTAAGTCAGACTCATATGTGTAAACACTGTATTATCTCACTAGTGTGAGAAAGTAAACAATAAGATGCAAAATGTACAATAGATAATAGGACTAAGGAAGAAACTGTCAAAAAGAAAAGAAAAACTGTGATGGGAGAATGGGGAAAGGAAGGAAGGGAAAAGGAAAAAAATATATATACACACACAAGATAGTTAAGATAGCTATACAGCTAGTATCTCTTAGTTCATTGAAAAGAAAGGTTTGTGCTAATACTGTTTAGACAATGTTTCATGCCTGTGTCCTATACACTGATCAACTATTAGGAATATAACAATACATATGTATTAATTATTGTTACTGTCTTACTAGCCTGTTTCAAAACTGTTTTATTGTTATTTTAAATTTTTTCTCTTTAAAATTAAAATAAATAAAAAATAAAAATAGTATCCTTTTGTTTTCTGACTTTCATTGCTGCTGTTGCAAATCTGTCAGGAATGTGTTTTTCTTTTCTTTGTTAGCTTTCTTCCTTTTGCCATGTTCCAATTACTGTTTAACCTCTCCATTGGATTTTTTATTTAAACAATTATATTTTTAGCTT